TTAGGGAAGCAATTTCCTCGATGGTGCGTGCTAATGCACATATCCAAGCCTGCCTTGGAGCTGCTGGAGCCGGGGAGTCGAGCAGCTCCGTTGCACGGTGCCTCCTTGGGGATCAGTGTCTTGTTTCATCAGGGCCATCTGCTTGCAACACAGCCTCAGCCAGCTCCAAGTCCTATAACAAGCTGCTCTCAGTGCCGGCTGGAAATGGTTGGAAAAATCCGAGTGTTGTAGGTAAACATGAGGCTGGGATACAGCCATGCAGGGAGTTATTGGGCTGGCAGGCATTTATGGGGTGTTGCTGTGCATGAAGAGGGGCCCAGAGCTACTCAGGGGTGCAGACCCATGCCAGGTGTGAGTGGAGCTGTTCTCCATGCCCATGCCAATGGCTGGAAAGGATGGAATGGGACATGTCTTGTGTGGCCCACAATCCAGCCCCGATAACCAAGCTGCCCTGAAAGCCACCACACACAGAGATCTCAGTCCTTCAAAGGCACATTCTGCAAATACTCACTTGCTGTTGGTAGGATGATCAGGTGCTGCAATATTTATATTCAAAGGTTGTTTGAAACTGGCAGAGCCCAGTGAAACTTATGGGAAATCCTTCACATCCCTTTTTGCATCCCCTTCTCCCTCAGCTCCTCTTCATCACCAATTCCGTTGGCATCTCCAGGCATGAGAGCAGCCTGTGATACATTTGCCAGGGGTGTTTTTTTGAGGACCATTAGTTAAGCTGATTTATTTTGTTGGCTCTGTGTCCCTGGGGTCCCTGTCAGCCAACTCATCAAGCGTGCAGAGCAGAGCTGACACTGCTGGAGAGGCGATGTCCGTGCACTCCCAGCATTTCAGAGAGGACATGGGATCTTCTCACGGCATCCCCTTGACAATGGCTAAACAAATACAATGTGAGCAGCCCTTCCATGCTAAGTAGTATTTTTCAGTGCTCCTTTCTCCAGGTGTTTGCACCCACATTGCTCCTTCTCTTTCCCTTTTTACTTTTTTTTCCTTTGTGGTCACAGCTCAAACCAGAGGGTTAAATTTGCTTTTCCTACCAGCCCTCATCCTCCATCACCCAGTGATTGCTGCCTCCAGAATCAGAGGAGTCCGCCCATGCTGCTTTCACCAGGATTTGGGCTGTTCAACACTTAATTTTCTACTAACAGGGCTAAAGTTGCAGTGGTTGTACATCCACACTGAGAGCTGCTCCATGTGGACTGTCATGTTAGGGCTGGAAGATGGTCTTTAATGTCCCTTCCAACCCAAATCCTTCAAGGATTCTGTGACTTTTTAATGTCTGCCTCATCCAGTTTGGAAACACGGACCCACATAGGTTTTGTTGTTTACTTTTTATTTTTCATTTTATTATATTTCTTTTTGGTGTGAGCTTGTTTTTCAAAGGGTGGTTTTTTGTGTGTGTGAATTTTACAGCTCCATTTCACCACCCAAGGTAAGGGAAATGCTGCCATCCCAGTGGCCAATTCCCACTCTGTGTTTAGGAACAAATGGAAATGATGTTGTGTTTAATTATCTCAGCCTGCTTACCATGGTATTTTCACTAATATTTGGGTTTAATGAGCTAGGAAATCTGGGCCATTGTGTGCTGGTGGATACACTCATCCTTTCTTCAGCTAAATATGTTAGCAGATAGCTTCCACAGAGATGAGCAACTGCTTCCTTTGAACTCGGGAATCATCAGGATTCACTAATTTGCTTAGACCACCTGCTTGGCTACTATTACCACAGGTCTCTTATTTTCCCTCTGAAATGGTAAACAGAAATCTAAATGTTGCTGTACTGACCCTGGAGAAGAAGAGGCTGAGGGGAGACTTCACAGAGGGTGCAGCTTCCTCATGAGAGGCACTGGATGGGCAACTCTGCTCTCTGCAACAGTGACAGGGAGTGGCTGGAGCTGTGCCAGGGGAGCTTTAGGTTGGATATCTGGAAAAAGTTCTTCCCCCAGAGGGTACTGGGGAACTGCCCAGGCTCCCCAGGGAAGGGTCACAGCCCCAAGGCTGGCAGAGCTCAAGGAGCATTTGGACAACTCTCAGGCACAGGGTGGGATTGTTGGGGTTCCCTGTGCAGGGCCTGGAGCTGGACTCAATGATCTCTGTGGGTCCCTTCCAGCTCAGGATCAGCCCCACTTAGCAGCCTCTGCTTCCTACCCAGGGACTTGCAGCCCTGCAGAAATGCTCCAGCTGGATCTGCAAAGATCCCAAGGTCCCACAGGAATTACCATATAAAAGGGAATTACCCTGCTTCTCTACTCAGCCTGCATGGTGTTTTGCATGGGATGTCTTTGCTCCCAGGACACGTGGTCTGCACTCTGGATTCTCCATCCGCAGGGAAGAGAGTTGGCCACGGGGGTGTTGGTGAGTCTTCCCACTGCAGTCAGGGAAGGAGATTTGCTCCCAGCCAGCTTGAGGATCCTTCTGTCACACAGATCTGCACGGGCACCCGCCCTACAGAGCTCAGAATGCAGCAAGGAATTTCTTCCACGGGTCACAGATCTGTTTTTTAATTACCATAGAAACCTCCAAACATCAGGCACGTGCTGTTACGTCAGGGTCTCGCTCCTCCACAGCTGCCTCCTTGGGACACTTTGGGGAACAGGAACTGTGGGGTCCTAAATTGTGGGTGATTATTTTTGGATTAATTACTAAGCATGGTCTTGGTGTCTCCCGGAGCACAGGATAGAAACTGTGGCTTTGGTCCTTTTACTCTTTTCATCCACGGCTTGCTGGTGTGACGGGACATTTCCCACCACCCTGCCCATCATCACCGAGGGATGCATTCACTGCTTCAGCCCTAAATATCCTTCCCATCTCTGCCGTTCCCACTTTAGACAATCAAAATGCAAAACTTGGGAGGCGTTCTTGGCACAGCCAGCTTGGCAACCCTTAAATTAGCGGGGTGTGAGCGCGCGGCGTTCCCACCCGGAGCTCCTCGTGCCGCTGGAGCCTCGCTCCGCGTTCCCGCGCGAGACACGCACCCGGCGTGGCAGATGGCTCATCCTCACGGCCCCACGGGCCATCCCAAAGCACACCCCGACAGCAGGAGGGCTGTCAGCACTTAGGTGAGGGGAAAGGGGCTCCTTGGTGGAGCATTTATTGCGATGGAGCCAGAGGATGAGGCAGATGGCTGGGGATTGTTGGCAGGGAACTCGTGTTTGTTTAATTAGTCACCAGACAGACTGAGCTAAAAGCAAACTCCAAGTGTGGTGAGATGGACCATTTGTACTTGATGTCTACCTGATGATCCTCGTCTCGTCATCCTGCAGTGGGATTGATGCTCCAGCACACAGGACCAGGTATTCTCAGTGATTTTAGGGGCCTTTGTTTCCCCACTATTTTTCCCCCAAAAAGGGGCGGATGAAGATACGTGTTGCTTTAAAATGTAACCAAAGAATGCACAAACAGCCCCCAGCAGAGCACACAGCCACTTGTAGGGCTGTGTGGATTTCTAAAGAAGCTCCAAGAGAGCTGGAGAGGGACTTAGGACAAGGGCCCGGAGTGACAGGACAAGGAGGAATGGTTTCCACTGCCTTAGGGCAGGGTCAGATGGGATACTGGGAAGGAATCCTTCCCTGGCAGGGTGGTGAAACCCTGGCACAGGTTGCCCAGAGAAGCTGTGCCTGCCTGTGTGTCCTGGAAGTGTCCAAGGCCAGGTTGGATGGGGCTTGGAGCAACCTGGGATAGTGGAAGGTGTCCCTGTCCATGGCAGGGGTTTGGAATGAGATGAGCTTTAAGATCTGTGATTCTGACACTCACTGGTGGAGGGGTTCAGCCCCCCTTTTGCCATGATCCCATCGTGTCTCCCTCCCAGACCATGTCCCCACACCTGGGCACGTCTCCCAACTCTGAGCTTCCCTGTCCTCAAAATAATGAAGGCTGGGAGATGCTGCAAAGGTAGAATTACGGAATCATGGAATTTGTAAGGTTGGAAAAACCCTCTAAGATCATCGAGTCCAACCATTCCCCAGCACTGACAAGCCCAACACTGACTCATGTCCCCAAGTGCCACATCTACACATCTTTTAAATCCCACCAGGGATGGGGACTCCACCACTGCCCTGAGCAGATGTACCAGTGTCACTTGTTCCTGAGCATGGATCAGATATTTTAGGGAAGGGATTCCTAAAGGGGCTCTGAGAGTGCTGGAGAGATACTTCGGACAACAGCCTGGAGTGACAAGACAAGAAGAAATGGCTTAAAATGCAGAGGTACTCCCACAAATGAAAAACCCACACCTTTATTTTTGCTTTATAAAATGCCTTGATTATGTTCAGTATTTGATGCCTTCTTGCAAACACTTGTCCTTAGGGGTTTTTCTCCTGCATTTCCCTTCCTGTATATACCTGTATGACTCATCCCTTGCAATGGGATGGAAATAAATGAAAAAATTAAAAACAAAAAAAAGGAAAAAAGAAGGGAAATAAATGATAGATGGGAAAGGGAAATAAAATCTGCACAGGAAATGATAACCCAAACACAAATCCTGTCTCTGCACACTCGGTGCTTGAAGGGGTAAAATCCGTGTATATTTAGCACGTATATCTAAAATGCAAAACTCTGAAAAAAAAAAGTTTTAAAAATTACCATTTGGAGACGAGGCCACGTTTACCAGAGCCCAAAGCGGTGCTTTTTCCCCCCAGAATATCCCCCCTGCCGTTACCCCGCAGCCCACTAGAGGGTGATTTCCTCCAGCGGGAGCTCCGCAGGCCGCTCGCTGCGCGGGGAGGGGATCCGGAGTGTGTTTTCCAGCATTCCCTGTGCGGGAGGAGCGCCCAAAATTCCCGGGGGGAGTGGCAGAAAGGAGCGGGGGGGGACACAGGGGACACACGGGGGACGCGCGTCCCCCTCGGGCTCCCCCCTCCGGCGCGCGGCTCGGCCCCGCCCACCATCCGATGACGTCACCCGTATGCAAATGAGCGACATGGGGGAGCGGGGGCCCGGCGCGCGGCCGGCCTCAGTCTCGCGCCGCGGAGCGCGCGCGCGCCCCCCCCCTCCCCTCTTTCCCTTTTCCCTTTTCCCGCCTCCTTCCCTCATTTCCCCCCCCTTCATCCCATGGACATGGCACGGCCACCTTAAAACGCCGCGCCGCCCCCTCCTCCCCCGATCGCCGGGGCCGGTATGAGTCAGGTGAGTGTGTTTTTATACAGGGTGTGTGTGTGCGGGGGAGAACTTTTGGGGGGGGGGCGGGGAGAGGGTGTGCTGGGTGCTCCCCCCCCATCCCAAATGGCGGTGCTGGATGCGGGGGGGATCGCGGTGACGGTGTGGGAATGCGCGTTGGATGAGGAGTGGGAGGAAGGCAGCGGGCTGAGTGCGAGCCTTCCTCTCCATCCTCCTCCTCCTCGTCCTCCTGCAGCCCCCCTGACTCCCCCTCCTCTCTCTGTTCCAGGTGTGAAGCCCCCGCCGGGAGGAGGTCGTTCCTCTGCTGGCTGCAGCCCTGACGTTGGGATTTTCCTTTTTTTGGCTTTTTTTTTTTTTTTTTTTTTCGGCCCCACCACCTCCCTCCTTCCCTCCCTCGCTCCCTCCCTCCAGGAATCCAGCGCTGCACCGAAGCCAGAAGAGAGGGAGCAAAACCCAGCCCAGGCCGAGAGCCGCGTCCTGAAACCAAACCCGCCCTTCGCATCGCAAAGGAGATTTTTTTTTTAAATCATTATTATTATTTTTATTTTTAATACCCCTGACCCGAGCACGGTGGCGGCAGCGGCGCCGGGGCAGGGAGGCTGTCCCGGTTATTTATTCTCTCCCCGCAGAGCTGTCCCTCAGGCTCACCATGATGTTCCGAGACCAGGTTGGCGTGCTGGCCGGGTGGTTCAAGGGCTGGAACGAGTGCGAGCAGACTGTTGCGCTGCTCTCCCTGCTCAAACGCGTCAGCCGGACCCAGGCTCGCTTCCTCCAGCTCTGCCTCGAGCATTCCCTGGCAGACTGCACCGAGCTCCACATCCTCGAAGGGGAGGCCAACAACCCCGGTGAGTGCTGCCGTTTGTTGCGACCCTTCTCGGGCGGTGCTCTAATGCCGTCGAAATTTAAAAAAAAAATACACCCAAGAAACGGGTGCGGTTTGGGAGCCGGGGGCTCCCCCAGCTCGGTTGCGGGAACGGCTTCTCTGCTCACGTTTATTTTCCAAACGGGGTTTGGCTTATTTCAGTTTGGTTTTTCACAGCAAACTACTCCGCTCCATGGCGTGGTGTAACTACGGTAGCATGAATGATTGGTGGGTTTTTTTTTTTTTTCCTTTCCCCCCCGTGCCCCCCCTTCCTCCTTCCATGCAGTTTCCTGTGAAATAAGTAAGTCAGGTCACGTAGAGTCTGGATTTTCTAGGCTTCTTTTGGGCAACGTGGCTTGCTTTGCTCTCTGCAACATGCAGAAGCAGCCCATCGCTACCTCAGACGAACTGTTATTGTATAAAGGTCTGGGCAACTGGGTTATCCTATTTTTTAAATTTTTTTTTTCCTGTTAAATGTGGCAATTCCTATTTCATCATTCAGATCCTGTTTGGACGCATTTTTTTCCTGCGGCTCTGAATACCCCCTTGTGTTTCAGCAGAGCTCTAAGAAAATATGAGTGGACTGTTTCATGTTACTGAGCGTGTGGGGTGCAGGACAGAGAATGTGCGTGGCTACCGAAAGTGTATTTTTCTTTTATTTATTCGCCATTACAAGTTGCTCAACTCCTCCAAAGTAAATGGGAGTTGGAGCAGGATGGGAATGGCACAAGCGCCGTGCGAATTGCACCGTGTGTTCCCGTATTTATTTATGGGGGGTGTGTTACAGATGTGTATGTTCCTAAGTAGGGATGTACATAGGGATGCAAGTTGCTCGGAGTTGTTGTAACGCGGAGGGTCAGTAGGGAAGGCAAAATGTTATTTAGTTGCGCAGTTCTGTTTTTCCAACACCTCTCAAAAAAAAAAAAAAAACCAAAATAAAAATATCCCAAACCAAAAAAATCCAGCAACCCATAAAAAGCAAAGCAACCCCCCCATCCCTAAGCACCAAATCCCAGGGGACTGGAATCTCTTGGATTTTGGGCTGTGCGTGGCAGAGCAGTGCCAGGGAGCGGCCGACTGCGTTCCGTGATGGGTGGAAATCTTGCGGCCGGATCCCGAACAGAGCCCCCGGTGTGGACGGGGCGGGAGGAATGCAGGGTCCTTCTCCAGCTGTTCCCTATTAGAGCACCGAGCCGGCAGGATTTGGCAGCTGCCTGTGCTGCCATTTGATGACAAGGTCCAGCGCAGCGCCGTGTTTCCACCGAGGACGGATTTAAGTCCTTCTGCAGGAAACCAAGCCCGGAGCTGCTCCGGCGCAAAGGGATCGGGGCTGGCTGCAGGGGAGCGAGGCTGGAATTGGCCGTTCCCTTATATAGCTCGCAGGAACGAGAGGGAGGAATGCTGCCGAGTGCGTCTGGGCGCAATACTGCTGCTTTTATAAACAGCTGAAAGGATGAACCTCATCCATCCCTTTGGGTGGGGAGGCCCTGGGGGGGGGTGGGAGGAAACACATTCTCCAAACTCGGCTGCTCCTGGATAAATCTGCAGCTTCCTCACAGGTTTGCTGTGATTCCCCCTGCGAGTTGGTGTGAGCAATATATTTTTAATTTTATTTTTTTTCATCAGCATCTCAGCTTTTCATTCCAGCTGTGGGTTTGGCAGTAGCTGTGTCCTCTTGGTTGGCCAGGGAATTGGAGGGGGGTGATTTTCCTCCAGCCATCAGGAAAGGTGAAGGAAAACAGGGCTCTGGAGTGGTCCTGGGCACAGAGTCACATAGGGCCACCTGTGTGGTGGCATTTTCTCAGTGTAAGCCTGGGTGCAGACCACGGGTTGGGTCTTCCCGTCTCCGCTCGTGCGAGCAATCCCTGCTTGCCCCTGTAATCCTGTTGACCTTGCTTGGCGCGAGGATTTCTCCTGCGTGCAGAGCTTGGCACCCAGCCTCCTGCCTGGCCCTTGCTGCGTTGGTGGAGCTGCCTGAGCTCTCCCTGGCGTGCCTTCCAAAAATGATCTCTTCCTCCAAGGCATTCGTAACTCCAATGCCAAACCCTGGATCCGTTGAGTTCCTTTTTCTCACCAAGCATCCCTCTGTATGGCTTTCCCACGGGATGGACACATCCTTGCCTCCTGCAGAGCAGGACACGCACTTTTCCAGGCAGTCCTGTTGCAGTGCAGGGAAGGTTCGCTGAGATTTGTAACCAGGCTCAGGCAATAGCTTTTAGTCTCCCGTGTTAGTGCTGCCTTCCTAAAACCACCTGTATTCCTGAAATCACTCCTGTTCCACACCTGTTTGGCAGTCTGGCATTTGCCTGGCAGTGGAATCACACCAAGTCCTGAACAGCAACATCGTCATCGAACCTTGCGTTACTCTTTGAATCCTGGTGTTTGCATTACTAATTTGGGCTTGATTCCTTCCTGGGCTGGGGCCTGAAGTGGCTCCTGGTACATTTTCCTGGTGTTTGCTGACTTGGAAGTAGTGGCTCCCTGCTTGTAGGAGCCCCGCTGGTATCTCTGGTGGGGGCTGTAAGGCAGGGGATGTTCCCTTTCCATGGAATCTGCTGTCTGGGAAGGGGTGTCACCAGCTGAATGTAACATGCTGGGCTAATGTACTGGAGCAGGTGTTGGAATTACACTGGGTCCTCGTGAGAATTGTGTTATTTTGTACATGCAGGACCTGTTACTTGCCCCAACCCTGTGGAGAGGTGGGAAAACTGGAATGTTGCCCCTAGATGATGGTTCTTAGGAGGAGGTGGCAGCCCTGCTGTGGTCCATGGTGGATAGGCACCATCCTTGGAAATACCACTACCACCAGAGATCAGGAGGGGTCCTAAAGGGAGACCAGAGCTCAGAGATCCTCTCTGACTGGTGGTGCTGGGCTCAGAGGCTTTCAGGTGTGTAGACCAGGCTGAAAACCCATTTCATCAAAGGTATCCAGGTTGTTTCTTGCCGGGTAGACTCAAGGTGAGAGGTCTGATGAATGGCAGACGTGGTTGGAAAACTCAAGGAAGAAAACTCTTTTAAACTAGTTAATTGCCACAGAGTAGCAAGTGTATTTTGTTCAAAGGAGTTCTATCTTGATTTTTTTCCAAGTGTGAGACTATTTTCATAATGACAGCCAAGCTGTCCTCATCAGTACTGCAAACCCAGCGTGGCTCTGCTGTGTACAGCTGTGTATGACCCTCGGAAAGCCCTGAGGACCCTCCTGATTCCATGGTTCTTTGGATCCCTGCCTAAGCCTGGAAGGGTGGATGTAACCTGTTGCCAACCTCAGATGTCCTGCAGGAAGCTGCACTGGTGTCTGGAAGTGCAGGGAGGTGTGGGGGCTGCTGAGGTGGCTGCAGGACCACCTGCAATCCATTGCTTGGTTATAAAGGGAAAATAGGAATGGGAAGCAAACATGGAAAGACATCTATACATTCTTCATTATGTGAAACGTGCAGTTTGGGACTGTCCTGCACTGGTGAAGGGTTTGGGTTAATTCAATTTGAGTGTGAATGGCTTGGTCTGCTGAGAAGGAGGAGAATATGGAAACTATATTATCCATGCACAGGAACAGAAGTTTCAGGTATTACATAGCACTATTTAAAAGCCTGCTATAACTTCCTTCCTTCCTTCCAGCCTGGCCTCGCTGGGCAGCTTCAGTCCCAGCTGCTCGGAGCCGTCAGAACGTGGCGACCTCCTCTGAGCTACCAGTAAAGGTCAGGCAGGAGTGGGGTGACCCTTGTGGTGGGAATGGGACCTGTGCTGCTCCTGGGGCACCCAGGGGTGCTGGGCATGGCTGAGGGCTGCACACCCAGTGAGGAGAGGTGGGGGCTGTATCCATGAACTATGGTCTGTAGGCTTTGGGCAACGAGCACAGAATGTGTTTCTGCTTTCATCTACTCCAGCATCCCTCTGCGGTTTTTTCCCAAAGCAGTCTCACATCCCATCCCACCAGCCCTAGCTTCCTCATTCCTGCAAGGTTGACAGAAGTGCCCAAAGACTCCTGTAGGTCCTCCAGGTGTCCAAACACCCACGTGCACTGATGGAAGTAGTGACAGCTTTAAGCTCATAAAGGACAGCAAGCTTTCTCTGGCCTGTGCACAGGACATTAACTGCTCCATATGGTAGGGCCAAAATCTTTATTTCATTTCAGCAGGCTGTCAGGTATCACAAGGGGAGCATCAGGATGGCCTAGATTCCTCATCCTGGGAAGGACTGGCCAAAGGAAGAGACAAGGGTTGCAGGGAGCCGTAATGTCTTTTAATAGAGCAAGTGATGCAGCTGGAAAAAATGGCCAGGCATGAAGGTGCACCAGCTCAAAGGAGGGCTTGTGGGGTGGTTTTTTCCCAACTGTACCAGCTGGTCTATTAAAAGGCATTACATATTCCTGCAGACCTTGCTGCTTATATCCTTAGTTCCCTGTGGCTCCAGCCCTGCATCTATTGCTGCCACCCCAGCCACAGACAGTCTCCCAGCCCATCAGAAGCTGTTACTGCTGCACTGTGCAAATTTTGTAGTTCATTCCCAGTGACCCCCACTGATGGCAAATCATCCCAGTGCCAAATTTGAAGGTGTTTCTCATTTTTAATTTTTTTTTCTTGGCTTACAGTTGCACTGCAATGCTGAGCTCTGGTTTAAATGTCCTTGGTCTGTGTGAGAGCATGGCTGGGCTGTCACACAGTGGGACTGGAGGAGGCCAGGAGGCATCCCAGGAGGAGGATGGGGTCAGGGGCTTAGTCTGTGCTTGTTGGAAGTGATAGAGAATTATAAGTGCAGGGCACTTAGGCATCATCATTGTGTGGTCATTCCACACACTTGTCTCTGTCTGGAGAGGGATGTGAGCAGCCCTGCCAGCTCTGCTCATTAAAAATTACGAGCTGGGACTCCTAAATAGAGAGATCACAGAAGTGTTGGAAGGGACCTGAAAGATCATCTTGTTCAAACCCCTCAGACAGGGGCAGCTTCCACCAGGAGCACCAGGCTGCTCAGAGTTCCATCCAACCT